AAAAGCCTGGCTTTTTAGCAGCCTTGAGAAAGTCAAGCCTCTTTTTTTTTTTTTTTTTTTTTTTTAACATTTTCTTGCTACAGTAATCTGCCTTCTATTTTTGTTAAAGGTCAAAAATCATAGAATGTGCCTAACAAGAGATTTTTGTTTTCTGCAAATGCTTTTTAATTTTTGAGCTAATGGAACTTTTAAAAATGGTGTCCTTGTTTATTTAAAAATTTAAAAAAATCAGTGAAGTGGGGGAACGACAGCCTTTTTAACAAATGGTGTTGGCAAAATTGGAAAAATATCTGCAAAAGACTCAAGCAAGACCCACACCTCACTCCATACACAAAAACCAACTCAAGGTGGATCATGGACCTAGGACTAAAACCAAGGACTATAAAATTCATTACAGAAAAGCTAGGAACAACACTAGAAGTCCTAATCCACAACATAAACAGTCTTCCCAGTATCCTGGAAAAGCTACAACCAGGAGAAGATAACATAGATGAATGGGACCTTCTAAGACTCAAATCCCTATGCACATCCAAAAACTTCTCCAGTAGGGTAAAAAGGGAAGCCACTGACTGGGAAAAAGTATTCGGTAATAACATATCAGATAAGGGACTTATATCCAGAATTTATGAAATACTTGAGCACCACAACAAGATAAAGGTAAATAATCCAATAGAAAAATGGGCACAGGATATGAACAGGCACTTCACCGAAGACGACATTCAGATGGCTAACAAACACATGAAGAAATGCTCAAAATCCCTAGCCCTAAGAGAGATGCAAATTAAAACAACTATGAGATATCATTTCACCCCAGTCAAAATAGCAAAATTTAACAGAACAGCAAGCAACAAATGCTGGCGAGGTTGTGGAGAAACTGGAACCCTGATTCACTGTTGGTGGGAGTGTAAAATGGTGCAACCCCTGTGGAAAGCAGTATGGCGCTTTCTCAAAAAGTTGCAAATAGAGATACCATTTGACCCAGCAATTCCACTACTGGGAATATACCCTGAAGAGACCATAGCTGACATCCAAGCAGATATATGCACACCCATGTTTATTGCAGCTTTGTTCACAATAGCAAGGAGTTGGAAACAACCTAAGTGCCCATCAACAAACGAATGGCTAGAGAAGCTGTGGTATATTCGCACAATGGAATACTATGCTGCATTAAAAAACAAGGAACTCATGCAATATTATTCAAAATGGTTGACTCTGGAGAACATTATGCTGAGTGAAATATCCCAGTCACAAAAGGACAAATACTACATGATGCCACTGTTGTAGAATGGGACTGTCCTTGGGGTTGGGGAGAGACTGAGTAAGATGGGTTCAATAATGTATACTGCACTGAAACAGAGGAGGGAGAGAACCGTCTAAAAGAGAGATGTAACTGGGTATTTCTGTCATCACAGGAGACTAGAGCGAGGGCTGCATGGTGGAGGGGACCTGGGGGAGGGTTTGTAAAACAATGAAAGAATCTTTTCTTTTACTTTTCCATAATTTTTGGACTCATGTACTTATAACTTGTTAGTCAAATTTGTGTCTTCTAGGTTGCAACACCCCCATGATACATCTTGAAGGATATGAACATGTACAGCCAAGCACAATCAATAAGAGTGCATCTGAATTCCAAAATCAATCTCCATAATAGTCTATGTGTTTCCTACTGCCAAAGGGGCCCTTTAGAGTAGTGAGAGAAGATCTTCACCCTGAAACCCACAGTGTCCCTTTTCAGCAGGAAGTAGCTAAGAGAATACGCCGTCCCCTTTTCCTTATAACTCAGGGTGAAGTCTCTCTCAGGGAGGAGTGATAGGGAATGGCAAAGGATACACTGACAAAGAAGATTAATCAGAACTGGCTTTGACAAGCACTGTGGCATTTGGACAAGAACAAACTGGGAGGAGGGTAGAGAGAATAGTGCAACAATGAATGAGTGGAAGCCCAAAATCTCTGTAAATGTTTATGAAAATTAATAAAATATAATTATAGAAAAAAAAATTTAAAAAATCTTGTCCTTTTTTTCTTATTTATTAGTAGATATTTATTTCACCAAGATTTGTTCACAAAATATAAAAATTTTCATTCTCTCGGCAAATATGCTGTTCTCATTTTATACCAAGGCAGTCTACTAGGTTAGTGGCGGACACAGGGTTTCAAACCATGGCCTCTATAGTCTAGTGAGAAAGAGGCAGAATTTATCAAATAGTCACACAAATTCGCACGGACTTAATTAACAAGCACTTGTGGTCTTGTGGGTTAGGAGGTGCACTGCCAATCCAAAGGCAAACAGTTTGAATCCACCAGCTTCTCGAAGGCAGAAAGAGGAGAACAGTCTCCTCTCTAGTGGTTTACAGCTTCTGAAAACTCACTGGAGGGTCAGCTTAGAGGTGTTTCTGACTCAACAGCAGGTAACAGCAACAGTAAGAGTAGCTTTATTAACATAATAAAAAGGAACAATGATTTGGCTTATAAGAAAGCACTCTATTTTAAAGATCCATAGTGCATAAGCTTACCTAAAAGGGGATTTGACCTAGGTGAAGAGGTCAGGGAAGGCTTCCCCAAGGAAACGGCAACTACACTAATAGATGAAAAAGGGAACTAGAGATAAAATTGCCTTCCATGCAGACTTATGGACAAAAGTCCTGTGGGCTTAGAGGACAAGGGCTAATGTGCCTAGGGAGAGTTGGAGAAGCACGTGGGGAAAACCTGGAGTGAAAGTGTGCTCAAATCTTGTAAGTGGTAGGCCATATTGAAGATATTGCCTTTATCCTGTTTGAGAACTATATCAAGGGTTTAAATGCAAGAGGAAATATGATTGTCTTTTGAACAGATCTCTGGAGTTAAAATGCATTGAACATACTAGCATGGAGGAAAAGTGAGTATGAGGTAACAAATTGTTACACTTGTCCAGGCATCACATCATTGTATCATCCAAGGTGGACTGAAAACAGGGCACAGACTGGAGAGGTCCTTGAGATAAATTGGGTTGGGTGACAAGAGTGGATATATAGCATGACTACTGTGTTACTGTTTGTGGTGGTGGGAACTGACCCATAGCTGATCCTCCAGTGGATTTTCAGAGGCCATTAATTGCACGGGAGGAGATGGCTCATACTTTTTCCATGAAGCAGCTGGTAGATTCAAACCATGCTTTTGGGATTGTAGCACAGGCAGGATTATGCAGACCTGATGTATTTATTCTAAGATAAAATATTGTTTGAATGATTCCTCTTATAATTTATTTATTTAACCAATAGAGACAGTGTGATTGGCACAGGACAGAGCAGAGATTAGGACTGTTGTATGTAGGGTCGCTATGAGTCACAAGCTACTCAACGGCATATAACAATATTTTCTAGAACATCTGTTGTTATTCTGCATTATTCTGACTGCTGGTGATAGAGAACAGACCAGGCCATGTTTCTCATGGACACCATGTCTATTAGTGGCAGAAAGCCTCCTTGACTTGAAGATGAAAACTGGCTAGGTTTTTAGATTGGCCAAATGGAAACACATTCACTTTTAAAAATCACTCGACATTTTCTAAATCCTCTTCTGTGATGAGAGGAACCAGGTCTTTTTTTCTAAGGTACTTCTAGGTGGGCTGGAACTTCCAATCTTTTACATTACCTGGGACTTAAAAAGCATAGGGGTAGTAAACAGCTTGCTAGAGAATGAAAGGATATGCCTTTAAAAGAACCCTTTGAAAAAAAAAAACCCACACAAAAAACCCCCAAAAAACAAACCACATTCAACCCACCATCTAGAAGACAAATGCTACACTTTTATTTTACTATGAGGTGAAATGACATAGCTAAATTTTTCCTTGGTCAAAGGAAAGCAGAGCAACCAGAAAAACTCTCAGATGTTGTATTTATTGTCAGAGGAAAAAATGATTTCAGGTGTACATCTTGAGAGCTCATGGTAGTCTCTGTGTAGACTTAGGGGCAAGGGAAAGAAAGAAAGACAAGCCTACATTCCTCTTAGTTGAGGGGAATGAAAATCACATTTTTCATTTGAGAAACTTCGCTCGATGTGAATGATTTGTTCCTTGTTTCCATTATGTTGTTTTTACTTGGCATATTTAGCTGGTCCTTAGTATGTAGTCATGGTAAGGTTTTATATCAATGTTTGGGTCCCAAAATTGCTTAATTTTTACATAATTAGTATAGTTTGATTCCTGCCTCTGCATATGATTTAACTTACTTTGATCTACATAATGTTTAATAGATTTAAAAAAATGTGGTAGGGTACATCTTCCTTGCAACAACCATTTCTCAAATCTAACCTCATTTATGAGCTACATTATATAAGAATAGACCAGAGAGATTAAGATGTTTTCCTGCATCTTCCAGATTTCCGATAAAGCAAAAAACCAGAAAATAACTACATGTGAATACGCCTAGTTTTCAATGACATTATGTATCAAAATAAATTTATTGAAAGTATTCAAAGAACAATGTCAACATTTAGCTGCCTTCAGGACAGTCTTTGGCACTCATAACAAACATTGTAGTTTTCAACACAACTTCACACATTCTATTTCACATATCATATGAGTTCAAACACAGACTGTTTCAGTGTTAAATGATACAAGAGTACTGATGATCTATAACCTTCAGAACTTCAATACTCTTGCGTACAGTAAACATTTTAATGTTACATAGTATTAAAAATGTAAAACTAAAACCACTATGTGGGGACATGAACTGATTTAAGGAAAGACAAACTGTCAGCTAGCTAAAGCAACATAATCCCAGATCTATTGATTTTAAATGCTTCTGGACTGATAGCATTACAGTTGTATCTTTCATCTCGTAATCTCACTTCTCCTGTGTGCGACACCAGTGCACGATTCCTCCCTGTGTCCTATATGCAGTGATGGAAGTCATCCCGATAAGAGTTTCTCCTAGACTGTTTCTGTCACTAACCAAGCTTTTACCATGTTTAATAAGTGATTCCTTAACACCCAAGCTGAGTTCAAGGTCAGTCTTTTGGTTTTCTGGCAGGTCACAGCCTTTCTCCTTAGGGGGAAAAAAAAGAAATGTCCTCCATTTATGGGCTCCTTTTTTTCCCAACTCATGTAGCATGGGGTTCTGTGGGGATTTGTGGCTTTTTACATAAGTCTTGGTAGAATTCAGACTCCAAGAATCGGGGATAAGAGTTGTTCTCCATCAGGCTGTAAACTCTTTTCTGAGCTGTTGTAAAGCAACCACTTGTAGCGTCTTGTATGTTTTGGGCAATTAGAGTTTTGGTTTGAAAGTCTATGTTTATCTGAAAAAAAAAGATGACACAAATGTTTTATTGAATATTGTTGGAGAAGATGAAATCTATTTAACATACAAAAACAAAACCAAAAACTATCTAGGCACTCCACAAGTAATGTACAACCAGTAGTTAAGAGTCTGTTATAGTAAAACCTACTATATTAAAAAGTTGAGGTACATACATTGATTGGTAATAACAAATAATGACAGCTTTGCAACCAAAATGATAGTACTGTATTAAGCTAAAAATGTTTTACTATCTGAGTGTTTTATTTTTAATGCACTGATAGGTACCCCATAAACAATTGATTATACTGATGTTATGTACCTATTTCTTCTGATCTACTTACAAATTACATTTAAAGACAGATTTAGGAATGCACCTCACTTGTAACCTAGTGACTGCCTGTAATGTGTTATTAGCTTCACCAAGCAGCCACTAGAAAAACCTCAATTGAAAGCTAGAACAGGGAGTTGGGGGAAAATTCTCTTGTCATCCTAACTCTCACCCTTTTAAACTGAAGTCTCTTATTTCACTCTAGTACTAAAGATGCTAAAATTATGCTAAAATGATTTTTATTTTACCTCTTTTGGAGCCTCTTTTTCAATGAAATCAGTATATATTTTCCGTGCTTTTGAGGAGAGCTTTTGGGGGGACTTTGTTTTTTTGAAGTCTTCACAGGCCAGCCAGAATTCAATATTTTCTTCACAGAACTCAGATTTTAGAAAAGCCCTGAATGCAGCAAGACCATCTGAAAGAAGAAGAGCATGCAGATGTGATTTTTATCTCCCCTCTCGAGCTGCCCCTCATTATAATTATTTCTAAATAATAGCAATTTTCTAGATTTCACTCAGACTTTTAATCCTCAGATTTTAGCTCTTTAAAATTTAAAATCTAAGGTGCCAGTAAGCAAATTTTTGAAGCTGGCATGCTGCTGAAAAAAAATATGAAAACTTAAGCTCTCTGTTGCTGATGCAAAATGAATATTTCTAGTGGAGCCATAATTTTTCTGGAAACTAAGCCTTTTGAAAAGACTGCAGTGGAAAAGCTGACTTAATAGCAAACTGAATTTAAGTTTTTTTTGGCTGCTTTTTCCGTCTTCACCGGGAGTGAATAAGATATGACTGGAAAATAAGGCAGGGGAGGGAAAAAAAATGGTCGTATGCTATAGTAACTGTAATTTGGTCTCATTTTCCTTAAGCTAGCCATTTTTCTATTGGGTGGATCCAACATTAGGAAATTCCTGAACCACTTGAAACTGGTAAAATTCAAGAATTTAACTTACATTTACTGGCGAGCAGTTCATCAAATGCTTCTGACCACAGTTGTGCTTCCTCTGGAGATGGCCTGTAAGAGAATTTCTGCACTTGAGCTTATGCTCATCAGAATGCCCCCTTTCAGCCCAGCAGCTAGCAACTCATATTTGCATATACGAGAATTTCCAACTTACTTGATAAAAGTTTGCTGTTTGCTTTTCTTGTCAGTTTTGGGTTTCCCAGGAGTGGAGGAATTTTGTAAAAAGTAGCTCAAACGGGCCTTCCAATCTTTTAAGCTTAAAGAAAGAGAGAAAAGAACATTTACTACAGTGGCAATGCTTGAACACTGCTTTGCCAAATAAAGTCTCCCAGTAACTACAGACAACCTAAATAAAATCAGATAGAAACGCTCCAAGTGAGAGCAGCCTTTCCCTTTTAATGCAATAGATTACACCATTGACTTGATCCATTTATCACAATATTAATTATTTTAGGTCATTAAGGTATTTAAGTGAGTTAAATTTGTGGTGCTTAAAAGGCAGCAAGTTTTCCTGCAAGGCTAATTTTAACCATGGGACACTCATGTTAATTTCTCTCCTACCATCAGAGGCTCCTGACCACACCAGAATCCGCATACAATTAGGGGTGTGTGTGTGCCTGATCTCTGCCCTTTCACACCCCCTCTTCCTCACTACGACACTCAGGTTAAATAAATGCTGCGGAAGGATCATCTGCACCCCACAGAATGTGAGAGATCTCTTCGTCAACTTAAAAGCGAGACTGAATTTAAATTCAGAACCAGGAATAACATCTCCATTCCAGCAGCTGTGTAAGCTGGTTAGAACTCAAAATGCCACACACGAATGCGGCTGCAGACACGCTTTAGCCGCAGAGCTCTCTGATGTCATTTTAAATGCAGAAGCAGGGGGGGAAAAAAAGGTCAACCCACAATTTCTTTCTTCACGCATCTGCCTCTGTCCCCACTTTCAAGAATATTCCTCAATTCCTAACTCTGCCCAATTGCCCTTTGTTCTCATGAAAAATAATACTGCACAAAAAGGCTTAACCTTAATTTAGCAAATTAACCTTGTTGAAAAAAACAAAGCAAAGCAAAACCCAACATATCCCCCTGCGCAGAGACGCAAACTACCTAGTTTCCTCTGGTCAAAGCGAGATCCAATCTCTCGCTTCTGTAAAAGATGTTAAGAACTAGTTTCACCCAGCGAGTCAAGGTGGTAGGTTGGAGAAGTTGATACTCACAGGGTCCGTTTCATCTTCTCCCGCTTCTCTTCGCTCTTGGCGCCATTGCCTGAGCTCTTGTCCATCGGTCCACAGTATTCGTGCTGGACAGCCAGGAACATGGTACTTTGCATCATCTCCTTTCAGATCTTGCAGCTGCTGTTTGCTGGCGGTTGCTGGCTGCTGCCTTTATAAGAGGCAGACGGGCTGGCCCCGCCCACAGAAGGCGAGGATTGGCCAGATATGAGAACGGAGGCGGGGCGAGGGCTGCCTGAGGCTGTCACGGTAGAGCCGCAGAGTCTTCAAAGGAGGGTGCTGCTGACGTCGGCGGCCCCCGGTTTCGTGCGCACACGGGCACGACTTGCCGCCTGCTGAGACCCATGTGGAGCCTAGCGCTTTCCCCGTGAGCTGCCTCTGATTAGATGGAGGTCTGGCCAGGCCATTGCTGGCTCCGGCGAGGGCAGGGCCCGGAATTGGCAGCAGTCCTAGCCTTGACGTTCCTCCTCCCACACCTACCCTGACGTGACCTTGGGTCCTCAAATGAAGCAAAGATTCTGCAGGAAGGAAAGGTGATTTGCAGCAAACCAGAGTGCAATTGCCCCATTTCAGTTTACAGGGATTGGCCACCCCCCCCCCCCAGCCACGTTTCTTGCTGCAGTCCTGATCCTGCAGCATCGACTCACCCCAGATCAAGGGCGTGTAAACTGAAATGGGGGTCTCAGCAGATGTGGCTCTGCTCTTTTCTGCCACCTCTCTTATTTACATGAGAAAACGGTGACTTTCTGTGCATGTTAGGATACTTTTAGATAGGAGCACGGAGAAAGTGACCATCAGATGACAAGGCTTAAATTGGGTTTGCATTATGACTTTCAACCCTAGATATTCTCTCTCTTTGGAATACAGGGATCTTTCTAGTTTAAGAGTGCAGGGATGCACGATTTCTTCGTGAGTCATTCTTGGTTGGTTTACCAGAACATTTAATAACGGTTAGAAAGGAGGGAGAGAGGGAGTTAGACTTGCTTTGGTAAATTTGTTTATCTCTGAAATATCTATCTTTCCTGCAGACCTTAAAGTTACTTAATTGATAAGGATAAATAAATTACTTCAGCTACAAAATTTCAGAGAACATTGCCAATACCTTACAGTTGAATATTCAAATAGTTTCCCCATCAAACATCTAATTAGACGGTATGATTGACAATTAGCAAGAGAACTGAGTGGGCTGTAAATACCATATTTACTTTGCATTAAAATTCCGTGTGGAGTTGATTCTTCCTCATAGTAGTCCTATAGGGCAGGGTAGAAGTGTTCCATCCAATTTATAAAACTGTAAATCCTTAGTGCCATGTCCTTCTCTAGAAGAATGGCTAGTGGGTCAGAAGTCACCTCTCTCAGCTTAACCATTTAGTAAGCAAGGCTTCTTTGCATTAGACCAAAACCCACTGTTCTCCAGTTGATTCTGATTTGTAATGACTCAGAAAAGAACTACCGTAGGATTTCCAGATCTTCACAGAAGCCTTCTACCTCATCTTTCACCCAAGTTACCATATTTTTATGTTGAGTTGCCAGTAGTTGGAGCTCCCTCCAGCTTTTACTTGAAGGGGAAAGTCTGCATTCATTACTAAAGAGAACAGACATGTCTTTTCCTATGAAAATAGGAGTTGTGTTTAGACTTTAGTGGTTTTTTTTTTAAATTACTTTAAACTGTGAAATGTAAGAATATTTTTCTCAAGTATGTATTCTTCATCTCAACAAGAAGATGTTGATTCCTCTATTTTTTTCTCATGATTCGATACTTATTAAATATGTATGATATACAGAACATGCACATTATAGAATATTTCATTTGGAACCGTCATGGTAGAATTCACATACCACGTTTTATTCATAGAGAGTGGACAGCTCTGGAGTTCTGACAGAGACAGTAGGGAGAGAGAGCTGGATTTGGTGTCAGAAGACCTAATTAGAATTTCAGCTCACACCTTCCTGAGACCCAGTTTCTCACCTATAATGAGAATAATACAGCTATCTTGCCTATCTCGTAAGGCATTATGCAGATCTTGTGGAAGTCTTTTAAAGCACTGTGGAAATGTTATTATTAATTTGTAGATATGTAGGAAAGGAAATGTCTGTACATATAGTTACTCGGACTGGAAAAAATCAGAATAATTAATTCAGAATGAATTTGCTATTCAAGCGTAAGTATTATTAAAATATCAATATCAATGCCACAGAAATTTATAAAGTATCAGTTCATAATAATTATGTAAATGTTATGTGGATATCACAGGAAAATAAGTAAAATGATACTTGCTTTTAAGTTTAAAATCATTTAAACTTTTTGGAGCATTCTAAGTAGGATAAATGGAATAATCTCCATATATTCATAAAATTGAATACACATGAAACACAGGCATGAAATTATTTGCTTAACCTATAATTTATTTTTCTCAAAATATTAAACTGTGTGCCTTTTTCATAAACTCTTTTCAGATTGACAGCTAAATGGAAGAACATTTTTCCCCCTGCAAATTAAGTGGTTGCTTGTAAATCTGAATGTAAAAACAGTTTATAATTTTGAATAGATTGGGTGGTTTAAGAGTGAATGCAACCTCTACTGTACATTGAGAAGTTTTTTTAAAATAATGCACTAATGAGTTTTATAAAGACCAGTAGGCACTTCTGCTATATTTAAGGGAAAGCTAGAGCACTGACTTCCTTTTTTGTTGTTGTTGTTATAGCTGCCTTTTAGGTAAATAGGATTTGCTCAATCTGAAGATGATACACATTTTCCGTTCTGTGATGGAGGAAGAAATAACGCAACAGACTGTAAAAATTGCATAGCAAAACCACGACTTGAAAGTGGTTTATGAACATCTATTTTCTATATAGACTCTACTGCACCCTCTACTGGAGAGATTTTTAAAAACAGATGTGGTGCAAGTTTTCAAAGTTATTTCTTCATTGCTTTGTTAATAATACTTAACACCTTAAAATACATTAAATGGAAAAACAAAACAAATAATATTTTTCTATTCTTAACACTTCTAAAAGGAAACTATGAAAAACAGAAGTCTTGTTTGTATGTTGTTATTGGGTGCCCATCACTCTTAACAACTCTATGAACAACAGATTGGAACCTTGTGCTATTTTGTGCCATCCTCACAATTTCTGGCAATCTCGAGCTGTCTTTTGATGACCCTCTGCCTTTCCAAACTTGATACATTGTTCTAAAGACCAGCCTTTCTTGGGGATGGGAGGAGGTACGATGGAACTCATATTGGTCTCTTCCAGTTGGTTAGCCAGGTATCTGTCCTCTAAATTTCCTAACAGACTGGTGAACACATCCATGGCTACATCTGCTAGTCAAAACATGTTGGTTGGTATGTCATCAATTCCTGGGGCTTTATTTTTTGCCAATGCCTTAAGTGAAACTTCAACTTCTTCCTTCATTACCATTGGCTCTGGTTCATACTGTATTTTCTAAAATTTTTCGTTGTCAGTCAATTATGTCTGGTACATAAAGTATCTTTTGATACTACCTGAATCCTTCAGCAGATTGCCCATAGCATCCTTTAATATTGCAACTCAAAGTTTTAATTTGTTTTTCAGTTCTCTCAGCTTAAGAAATGTTGGGTGAGTTCTTCCCTTTTTATTCTCCAACTCTAGCTCTCTGCATGTTCTATTATAATATTTATTTTGCTTTGTTTTCTTGATTTGCCTTCTGAAATCTTCCATTCAGTTCTTTTACTTCAGTATCTTTTTCCCTTTGTTTTGGCTTCTTGATGTGCTAGTGTAATTTAGTGTCTCTTCTGACATCCACTTCCCCCCCCCCTTTATCTTCTTTCTTTGTAATGACCTTTTTGTTCTCTTCATGAATATGGAAAATATGGATATTTTTATTCCATTCTCAAGAAAGATGATCCAGTAGATTGTGGAAATTACCAAACAGTATCATTAATACCACATGCAGGCAAAATACTGCTGAAGATCATTAAAAAATGGCTAGAACAGTACATAGATAGGGAACTGCCAGAAGTTCAAGCTGGATTTAGAAGAGGCTGCAGCAACAGGGATATGTCATTGCTGATATCAGATGGAGCCTTGCTGAAAATGAAAAAAAAAAATAATCATGAAAAGGATGTTTATTTTTGCTTTATGACTACTTAAACTTATTTGACTGTGTAGATCACAACAAATTACTGTAAACACTGAAAAGAATGGGAATTCCAGAACACTTAATTGTGCTCATGCAAAACCTATACCTAGAATAAGAGACTGTCATGTGAATAGAACACGGGAACACTGTTGTTGTTGTTAGCCATTGAGTCGCTTGCGACTCATAGTGACCCTATGTACAACAGCCCTAAACCCTGCTTTATCCTGTGCCAATTGCACTACCTCTGGCACACCCATCCCGATTCCCCCAGTCACTGAATCAATCTACCTCATAGAGGTAGTTGACTTTGTCAGTGTAACTTGTCTCCTGATCTCTGACTTCTGGTACTAAGGGTATATTGATTGTGGATAGCCCACAGAGGTATACTTAAAATGAATGAAATACTTTATTTACTTATAATGGAAAAATATTTTAAAAATCCAAAATGAAAAATGAGACATTTATAGATATGTATTATTTTAGCAGTCACATGACTTTAATTCCTGTAGATTCTGGCTTTTTATTAATGTCTGGTTCTTGGATCTGGCTTCCCTTAAAGTTGATTCAGGACCTTAAATTATTGTACTATTATTATGATTATAAACACACTCAAATAAAACAATGAATGATAATTAATGGCTATGAATGATCTCTGAAAAAAAATTAATGTGATTTTTAAACTTTTTCACTCAAATGAAAAAATCTTATTTAATAAAATAAACTTGTAAAAATATGATTTATCTCCTCTTGAAGAGCAGAAATTCCAGTGTCTAGTTCTTTCTTGCATAAAGTAGGCTTCTGATTATTGAAAATCTGACTATGGCTATAAATAACACCATCTCCCACAGCAATTCTTGGAGATCGTCAGTTGTCTACCAATGTGATTTGCTTTGATGACTCACAGTTGGCTCCAATTCAACTTGGTAAAAATAGCATTTCTAGTCTTTGCCTTAAAAGTATTTTTTTTTCACTTTTCCC